TAGTATTTTTTTATTTTATAAAATAATACAAAATAATTTTGTTTGCAATTTCAGATAAGATTTTTAATCGTTGTCGTTACGCCACGTGTCATTATCCGAAAAAGACAATTTTTGGTAATAGATTTCGATAAGATTTTTATCCAATGTCGTCGTGCCACGTGTCGTTACCTTTTCATAATCGTTGAGGATAGATTTCCAATAAGATTTTTAACTAATCACGTTGCGCCACGTGTCACAATCTGTTTACAATCATTGAGGATAGATTTTGATCAGATTTTTAACGAATGACGGCATGCCACGTGGCATTATCTGCAACCTAATCCCTTCTTTTTCCTCCATATAACCCACCATCCATCCTAAGAAATCAAATCTTTATCATTATTCATAGTTTATGCTTCCTTCTTACAAAGTCTTCTTCAAGGATGTTGTGGGAAATCGATGAGCAAGAGAAAGAATTGTTTAAGCAAGGGGAAGAAATGTTCAATCTTCAGGTGGGCGAAAATGAGATGGAAGAGGATGAGGAGCGTAGAATGAGAGATGACGAAGCAAGAAGCCGAAGAGCCTCACATTCCCGTCGAGTCATCCAAGTTGTGGCTTAGATCTCTAGGCACAGCCGTCCCGCAAACATTGATAGAAGTGGGCAACGATGAGGTACGGATCTCTTGGACGATTATTTTGTCCGTAACAGTGCATTCCTTGATACGTACTTTAGACGTCGTTTCAGAATGGAACGACATTTGTTCAACAAAATCATGATTACTGTTTGCAATCATGATTCTTACTTTGTGCAAAAGAATGATGCTTTTGGTGTTATGGGTCTCCTTCCTGAGCAAAAAATTATTGCTGCCTTATGGGTACTTGCATATGGAGCATTTGCAGACCAAGTGGATGAGATAGCGAGGATGCGGAAATCAACCATTCTTGAGTCCCTGATGAGGTTTTGCTCCACAATCGAATCTATCTACACCACACAGTACCTCCGGAGACCTACTGAGATGGACTTGCAAAGGCTTGGGCTAGATGCGAGGTTTTCCTGGGATGATTGGAAGCATCGACTGTATGCACTGGACCTGGAAAAACTGTCCAAATACATGGTAAGGAGCTTATGGGGACAAAAAATGAGCAAAAAGTATCATTTTGGAGGCGGTGGCATCATTTGATACATGGATTTGGCACGCTTTTTTGGTGTTCCGGGAGCACAAAATGACCTCAATGTCCTTGTCAAATCCCCAGTGTTCAACGATGTCCTGCAAGGAAAAGCACCAAGAGTCACGTACTAGGTCAACAGACATAAGTATCACGGGCCATACTACCTAGCAGACGGCATTTACCCAAGGTGGTCATCGTTTGTCAAAACAGTGCCATGTCCGCGAAGTGCAAAGGAAAAACACTTTGCAAGCTGTCAAGAGGGGTGTAGGAATGATGTGGAGCGTTATTTTGGTATCCTCCAAGCTCGTTGGGCGATTGTCAGGGGTGCTGCCAGAATGTTTGATTTAGAATGTTTGATTTAGAGTCTCTTCGATCCATCATGATGACATACATCATTCTTCATAATATGATTGTGGAAGATGAGTACAATTATGATGTCATTAATGAATATGAGCCAGAGACGATGAACAATTCTATAACACAAATATATTGTGCTCATGAGCCACCGAAGAATCCTTGCAACACGAGCCATTACAAAGGGATGGATGTTACAATGAAAGGCTCATTCAATGATATACTTCACTTCATGACCCATATATGCACAATGCCCGGAAAATTGACTTGATAGAGCACCAGTGGGAACTGAAACAAGCTCAAGAAACTTAAGCTCATTTAGTGTGTTTGTTTTTATTTGGTGTGTTTATTTAATTTTATTTGGTGTGTTTTTTAAGTTCATTTAGTGAGTTTTTTTTTTATTTGGTGTGTTTGTAATTTATTTGGTGTGTTTATGTCCTTTGAATAAAGATTCTCTTAGTTTAAATAAATTACCAAATTAAATAAATATACTCTTAGTTTAAATAAAGTACTAAATTCAATAAATTGGAAACAACATAAAGTACTCTATTCAATAAATAAGAAATTACAACCCAAAGTGATTGGAAAATGGGCTCCGATTAAAAACAAATTCCCTAGTCCCTCGTGAATGGAAAATCATCACCCAACCAATTTGAGGTGCTAGGATCATCTCCTCTTGTGGTGCTAGGACCATCTCCTTCAATTTCGGCTACTTCTCCTTTACCTCAGATATCCTCATTCCTAATCTTATCATTTCTCGTGTGCCCACACATCCAACGAAACATCATCATCTCCGCTACACCCATTTTATGTACGTGTTGATGCTTCACCGCCTAACATTTCGTGCCATACAACATCGCCGACCTTATTGTCGTCCTATAAAATTTTCCCTTGAGCTTTAGTGGCATACGACGGTCACATAACACGCCGGATGCACTCTTCCACTTCATCAATCCAGCTTGTATTCTATGGTTGAGGTCTCCATCTAACTCTTCGTTCTTTTGCAAGATAGATCCTAAGTAGCGAAAGCGGTCGCTCTTTGGTACTTCTTGGTCTCTGATCCTCCTCCATTTGCACTGAACTTGCACTCCATATATTCTGTCTTTGATTGACTTAGGCAAAGACCTTTAGATTCCAACACTTTTCTCCCAAGGTTAAGCTTCGCATTTACCCCTTCTTGAATTTCATCTATCAACACTATATCGTCTGCGAAAAGCATACACCAAGGAATATCATCTTGAATATGTCCCGTTAACTCATCCATTACCAATGCAAAAAGGTAAGGACTTAAAAATGAGCCTTGATGTAACCCTACAGTTATGGGGAAGCTTTCGGCTTGTCCTTCATGAGTTCTTACGACAATCTTTGGTCCATCATACATATCCTTATAGCTTGGATATATGCTACTCGTACTCCTTTCTTCTCTAAAATCCTCCAAAGAATGTCTCTTGGGACCCTATCATACGTTTTTTCCAAATCTAAGACCATGTGTAAATCCTTTTTCATATCTCTATATATTTCCATCAATCTTCGTAAGAGATAGATTGCCTCCATGGTTAAGCGCCCTGGCATGAACCCGAATTGGTTGTCCGAGACCCATGTTTCTTGCCTCAGTCTATGCTCAATGACTCTCTCCCATAGCTTCATTGTATGACTCATTAGCTTAATACCCATATAGTTCATGCAATTTTGTATGTCGCCCTTATTCTTGTAGATAGGCACCAAAGTGCTCTTTCACCACTCATTTGGCATCTTCTTCATTTTCAAAATCCTATTGAAAAGGTCTGTGAGCCATGCTATACCTGTCTCTCCCAATACCTTCCACACTTCGATCGGTATATCATCTGGGCCCACTGCCTTTCTATGCTTCATCTTTCTAAAGCTACAACCACTTCTTCCTTCCTAATTCGGCGCTACACTTTTCTGAGTTACTCAACCCCCTCAAAGAAGTACTCATTTCATGTCCTTCATTGAAAAGATTATGAAAATAACCTCTCCATTTACCTTTGACCGCGTTCTCTGTAGCAAGAACTTTTCCATTCTCATCCTTGATGCACCTCACTTGGTTTAGATCCCTTGTCTTCTTTGCCTTTGCTCTAGCTAGTTTATAGATATCCAACTCTCCTTATTTGGTATCTAGTCACTTATACATATCGTCATAAGCCGCTAGCTTAGCTTCTCTCACATCTTTCTTCGCCTCCTGCTTCGTTATTCTATACCTTTCACCGTTTTCATCAGTCATATCCTTGTATAAGGATGTACAAGATAGAACCTATGGTTGAGATCAAATCTAATGGTAAAAGAAAAAAAGATTTGACAGCCCAAAATTAAATCTAATGGCTAAAATAATTAAGAAAATTGTTTAAATCAAATTTAACTTAAAACTTTATAATACCTATGTATTTGTATGATTTTTAATTACTTATCGGAATTTAAATATTTATATTAAAATGTTCATAAAAAAATTAGGATAATCTACATAAATTTATTTTTGAAAAAGTTTCCGAAAAAAAAAGCTAAAATAATTATTTAATAGTTTCGGTGTAAAATTTTAAGCTATAAGTGTTGGAGGAGAAAAGTTTTTTTTTTTTTTTATGAAGAAGAAATTTATTAAAGCTTAAAACCTTTAATACAACCGCTTTCCATACAATCAAAATTAAATGCCTCCATAGCCGAAATCAGAAGACAAAAATCCCAAAAATGTGGGTTTGTAACAGTGAAGCCCACATGAGCTAATGCGTCCGCCACGAAATTAGCCTTCCTATAAATATGCTTCCAACTGATATGCTGAAATTCATAAGCCAACCATTTGATGTCCTCTATGATAGGTTTATGATGTCAAGGGGACATCCAAACATCTTGCACCACCTAGATGACAAGCTTAGAATCCCCTTCCACCATCAGCTTCTTCACAACTTTGTGCCTAGCCAACAAAAGCCATTTCTTTAAAGCAACTGCCTCCGCAACCAAAATGATGGCGTCATCAAGGTTCAATGCTCCAACACCAACAGGTTGCCCTTCCTCATTTCTAAGAACAAAAGTAGCTGCATAACGATCCAAACTAACCGACCCATCACAGTTTAATACCACATAACCATGGGAGATGTTCTTATGGAGAGAGAAAGAGAAAGAGAGAGTGTGAGTTTACAGGGTAATAATAGGATGACACGATTGTGATAGAATGTGAGTTTACAGTGTAACAATAGGATGACACGGGTGTGAGATATACAAAAAAAAAGTAAAAAGTTGTTTGTTCGAAATTACTTTAATGTCCCATATTTTTCGTTTCTCACATTTTTTTCAGTTATGTATTAAAGGTTATAATTGTAATTAAGGACGGTGCTTTTGTGAATATTTGCAAAATGGAGGCTAAAATGGTAGAGAGAAGAGAGAGACAAACGAAACCCCTAAAAGGGCCGTAAAAGGTAATGAAATGACGTGGGTGAAGATCTTTTTTCGACTTCTTTCTCTTTTTCTTCGCTTATGCGACTGCTACAGGAGCGATCCCTCCCCCCTCCCCCTACTCTCTCTCTGTCATCGTCTACCTTTAACTCTTTTCACAATTTCTCTGTCCCACTTCAGGTACCGTACCTTCAATCCATCTCTCTCTCTCTCCTCCCTTTTAGATCTCAGTTATGGCTTTTCCGGGTTGGATCCAACGTGGGTTCTTATTTATTTTTTCAGATTGTCCTAAATTATAAATTCTCCCCCATCTGCTAGTGTTACGTACAGCTACCTGATTTCATTGGCTAATTTCATCTAATTTACTTTTGAATTAGTTGAGAAATGGGTCTTACTTGTACGTGTATGAATTTTTGTATGTTTGCACTTTGCCCATTTGTTGGGTTTCTGAGAATTGATCAAAGCATTGAACTTTACTAACACTTGCTTCATATGTGTTGTTTTTGTTGTTGGGTAGGTGTTCATAGATAGGATTAGCTGAGACGGAATCGAATTGCTGCCATGGAGTTTCATTATTGTTTCTTGGGTTGCAAAATGAGAAGTTTTGATACGCTGAATTAAAGGCAATAAGGTTTTTCCAAACTGGGATTTGGATTGGCATTGCAATCAATAAATTTCTTTGCGAAGGCGTTATCAGCTTACTGATTTTGGGGCTCTAATCCGTTCAGTTAAGTTGGTACCGTCTTTGCATCATGCCATATTATATTCAGAGACTCTATAATGTATGCAAATCTTCATATACGCCGACCGGACCTTTGTCAGAAGAAGCCCTGGAAAGAGTTCGTGTCAAACTAGGTATGATCCTTTAATTTTTTTTTTTTTTATAATAATCCAAACATTTTCAAATTTTGCTTGCCTTTTCTGCTACTTCGTGTTGTGCTGTGCTAATTATATGCCATGCCTAGTTGGAATGTTTGAGACAAAGATCAATCCTGTTTTAAAGCAAATTGTTTATTTTCAGCAAGAAATATTGATTTGAAAACCTTAAAGAAACAAATATACTAGGTTCCGGGACAGTTTTGGAGTTTCTGTTCTACCCGCCAATTGAAGTGCTCCCCACTAAGTCATAAACTGGAAAGCAGTTATCGATTAGTTTAGTTAACTTGCTAATCTAGCTATTTAGGAAACCGAAGACTACAAGTCAGAAATGAACGTCAAAACACATGAATCGTTAGCTAAACATAGAGAAAATGTAAATATTTGAGATTTAAACTTCTTTCAAGTTTAAAGTAATCCCAAGTTCACACTCAGAAGCTAACGGGGCAAAAGATGAAAGCACTTTCGAACATATATAATAATAAGATTGATACTTATTTTGCTTTAACAATCCCTTGTCAATTTTACACCCTGCTGCTGTGAAATTCGTAATAGATTTGATCTATAAGTTGGTTGGATTCCATATAGTACTATGTCAGATGCTACTGCTAATGCTTGCTGGGAGTTTAGTAGATTGGATCATCCATTCGCATACATCATACTCATTCCTTGATTACTCCATGACTTGATTTGTATTTTATTGGTTTCTTGTTGCTTGCACTTGATTGATTTTCTTGTGGATTAGAGTCTGAAATTGTTTTAACTTGCACTTGATTGATTTTCTTGGGCTTATTGGCCATCAGCTGCCTGAACTCATTTAACCAGCCCACTGAGGCATTAAAAAAAATTATTTGGTGCCAAAGGCCTATGTGGAAATCTTGAGCCATTAGAACTACAAATCTCTTTATAAGTAACATGTTTCCCTTGTGATGAAGGGTTACGTTTTACTAGAAATAGATGCTTATGAATATTATGAGAGCGTCTTCTCAAAAAAAATGAATATTATAAGAGCTTAAGACATTTAAACTAGTATTGGATATCTTTAGACACCTAAGTACACTAGTTTAATCCTTACGTTCATCTTTGATATTGTCTCAAGCTTCTTCACATGCTGGAAAGCTTTTTGCACAAGCCTTAATGGTTCTAGTTTTACCATTTCTCAGGCACCTCATTTGGCAAGCTTTTCCATAAAGGGGTCTTCTAAGGCACCTCATTTTTCTTTCTATCCACAGAGTAGTGTGAAATCTTATTGTGAACCCCTCTTTTGTTCTGTTTTTCAAATTTAACCCTGCTTATGTTTTTTATTTCAGAGAAAATTAAGCCTGCAGATGTAGGTCTCGAACAGGAGGCACAAGTGGTGCGTAATTGGTCAGGTGCTATGCCTGAGCATAATGGGATTCAGCAGTCACTTCCACCAATCAAATACTTGCATTTACATGAGTGTGGTAGCTTTTCTGTGAGTACAGGACTACAAATCATCAGTTATTGATTAAAACTTGTTTGGGTTCCATTTCGATTGTGAGATTTCAAATTTAGAGATTTTAGTTTATTCAAAGTTAAATTTCGTGAGAATAATTATTACCAATACATAAAAGTTTGTTTTTATGTGGGATGAAATAGATATGCATGGATTTCAAATGATTCATTGATTTCAAATTTATAATATTATGTTAAGTCTAGTTGTTTCAAATACGTTGCACTTAGTATTTGTACATTTTCCTAACAAAAATAAGCTTTTTATTTTTATTTTTATAGGAATAATAAACCTATTATTAACTGCAAGACCATATTTATAAATCTCCTCAACCAACATTAGAGTTTTAACTATTATATAATCTCATAAGTCCGCACAATCAATGCTCACTTAGAATTAGAAATCTAAGTGTCAGAAGACTACAAAACTGATTTACTGGTATTGAGCAATTGCTTTTACTTTTGGCAGATAGGAATTTTTTGCATGCCGCCTTCCTCTATCATACCTCTTCATAATCATCCTGGAATGACTGTGTTGAGCAAGCTTCTATATGGTACATTACGTGTTAATTCATATGACTGGGTTGATTTTCCTGGCCCTGCCGATCCATCAGAAGGTGTGATTTTCAATGTCTCTCGTCTACTTTACAATGTTGGTTAATGTACTGTTTCCTTTACCTGATACCTCATTTGCATGATTTCAAAAATTAAACAGCATCCTGTTTGTGAGTGTTCGTATCTAGCTTGTTCTATGCTTTCACATTTTTTGGTATTCTCTTAACTGTTTTTTGCTGGTTGATTGTGCGGGAGTGGCAAAGATTCTTTCTTATGGTTAGATCTTCAATATTTCACTCTTATTAGCCTTAGGTAGTAAAAGAGGGACGCAAAATGCTTCATTTTGCAAGTTGAGGAAATTACGCATTCCCCCAGCTTGATATTGACCTAGTCTCAGCATGCAGATAAGTATGAACTTATCATGGTGTATGCTGTCTGTAACCTACTTGAGACATGTCACGGTTTGCATTAAGGGTGGTTGGTGAACATGTGCGGTCAATTTTTTCGTTATGATGAAATGAGTCCAAAGTTTCGCGATTTTTGTTATACTGTTGGTTGCAAGTTTAGCAAGGCTAAGGATTTGGTAAGGGGTGGTATCCTAAGGATTGGTTGACTGCTGCTGCTATGCTGCTTTCCAGCAACAGGGCCATGCAATCTCCAATATGATCTGTGATTTTATTAACTGCCCTCATCCATTTGGGAAGGGGTGTGCATTGTAGCCCCAGATAGACCAGATAACTTGAGGGTCTTGTCTTGATGGGCACCTGGGCGCCAATGCTGGGGATGAAAATCTTCTTCCAACGTGTTTTTTGCTGTGGAAGAACTTTAGAGTGAGGTTTAAGGATTCTATTTGAGCTCTTTTTGGCATTCAGTAATATATCATTATATTTTATTTGGATTTCTTTTAGTTAGTTTTTGACTGTTCCAAATGCAATTATGGAAAGATGGGAATGAGCTTGCTGAATTACTTTGTCTCTCTTACCTATTTCAACATCCATGTTTCAAAAGTTGGGAATGTTTCTCTTGTGATTGTGAGTGAGGCGGATACGTCATATTGTTAACTGGGGAGATGTGAATTGTTAGCTTGGAAGCTTGGTGTTGGATGTAATCTGTTTTAAATTTTATATAATTTTATGTTTTAATTTTTTAGAGGAGAGATCTCACCTAAGAAATGTTGAGGGATGAACGACTTTGTTTAGTTCACGATCTATTCATATTTTGGAAATCTGGGTTTTTGCAGCGAGACCTGCAAAGCTGGTCAAAGACACTGACATGACCGCGCCCTGTCCACCAACAGTTCTTTACCCCACAACTGGAGGCAATATCCATAGCTTTAGAGCTATAACTCCCTGCGCCATCTTTGACATCCTAGCTCCGCCTTACTCTTCTGAAGAAGGACGACACTGCAGTTATTACCGGAAGTCCTCAAGAAGAGATCTGCCTGGTAATGAAATTTGTCTACTTTTCTGGTTATTAGAGTTGCAAATATTCCAATTGGTCCTAAAGTCAAGGATAACTGATAACCGCCAAGTACATTTCGTCAATGTTGCTGCTGATATTGATATGTTTTTTTGTTCGTTTGTTTGTTTGTTTGTTTGTTTGTTTGGAATGAAGCTGATCTTGAGCTCGATGGAGTTATAGAGCCTCAAGTGACTTGGCTAGAAGAGTTTCAACCTCCCGAAAACTTTGTGATTCGCAGAGGGCTGTACAAGGGCCCCGTTATTAGAACTTGAGAATTCTTGTTACATTTCTAGCTGAATTTGCTTTTTTCAAGATAGGAAACATTGAGGGGAACAACAGTGGCAATAATTTTGGGTTATGTAAGTTGCGCATTTGACTTGTACATAATAACTACGCCGTTGTAGTCAGATTTACTGACTTTGCATTGAACTAGGAGAGTAGTCGATGAAAGTTGTCAAAAAATGAAATCATGGACATTCACATTCCCGTTGGCAGTGTGACGAACGATCGTATGTGGCTCGGTTGTATTCTTCATTAAAAGGTTGTTCTTGCAACCAACCTTTCTAAGTGTTTTTCACGAAACTGCAGTCTGCAGTGTCAAGTTCCTCAGAATTCTGACCTCAATTGCTGTGGGCTTCTAATGCAAATCTGGGGTCAAGAGGGTCTATAAGTTTTGGGCTTCAAGCAGGGAGGGCCGATTAGTATGCGTGTCCAAGCCCATTACACAAGTAATTCATGGTTAAGTCTTATTTTTATTAAGCTGTGTCGAAATTTTAGTGTCAGCAGAAAAATGAGATTGGTGTGGAGTTCAAAAGGGCATTGCAAAGAATAAGTCTTATTTTTATTTTTGGTACAATGATGTGTAAACATTGCGAACTTTTTTTTATTTTTCTTTTCTACGACCATGAAAGGGGAAATATAAACTCCAATATTGAGAAGAGAAATATACGACAGCTAGTGCTCGGCACCATCTTCGCATTGTACTAATTAATGCATATTTAATTATCATACCATCTAATATGCTTGAATTTCTTGAAACCTTGTTTTATTAATACCTTTGAATTACAAACAACAAATTACATAAGTGTTATACATATAAAAAGAAAGGGAAATTATAAGGCACACACGACTGTACTCCCCTCTCCCTTCCTCCCTATATCCCTTGACGTCATCATTGATGACCAGTAATTACTCATGTAGTACTAGAGCCACAACCTCCGCCCCCACCACAACCTCCACCCCCGCCCCCATGGTCGCCTCCACCATGCCCCCCATGGCCATCTCCTCCGCCCCCATGACCGTGGTGGCCATGTCCTCCGCAACCTGTTGCATCTCCAGCAGCACCAGAATAATAAGACGCACCACTATTCTTCTTCCTGCTTGACGACTTACCGCAAGAAAATATGACAACTGATATTACAGAGAAGGACATTAAGATCATGCAGAAAAGGAAAAGACCACCAGCATTTGGAAGCAGTAAATCTGCATGACTAGCAGCTATAGTAACAATGTTCCTGCTGCTCCTAGCCATTTTATTTATTTATTTGGCGATCCAAACTCTAGGAAGAGGAATTTGTATACAGCTCCTAGCTAGCTACATCTTTTGATATAAATAGAATTTTTTTAAGATAAGTGACTTTATCTCCACCATTGCATTACCACCATGGACGGAGCCACTTGGGGCCACGGGGCGGATGCCCCTCCACTCAATACTTTTTGTTGGTACAAAATACATGTTTGCAACATCAGTAAGGTGTATCACTAGTTTACTTCTTGTGACATTATCATTAACTCTTCTAGTTGCTACTGTCAACTTTGAAAGGGTATTTTTATTCATGAAATTTCTGAAGAATTGATTGAGAAATCAGATGGGAGATTAATAGATGAATGATAACGTGTTACTTTGAGAGAGAGAGAGAGAGAGACTTGATGGTACTGGTAGTGAAGTTGTCATGCAACGTCGAGAGATATTTTAATATGTTGTATGAAAAAATCTGATAGATTAATATGTAAGTATTTTGTTTAATAAATTCTCTAGTTTTTTTTTTAATTTATGACTTTATTATTTGAAGATCCCATACGAGGATCACGTGCGTATGTTGCCAAAGCTTGTGGGGAATTATGTTCATAATTGGCTTTTGACTTTGTCTTGTGAAAGTGGTCCATTAGGCAATGCACTCAGTTGATGATTTGATTCAAATATATGAATACGATCTAGTCAAATTTCATTTTATCAAAAGTGTATAAAGTTTTTAAAAATAAAATAATTAGAGGTTGTTTGATTAGTTTTTATTTTATATTGTTTATAGGACGAAAACTTATTCTCAATTGTACGAGGATTTTTATTATTTTTATTAAGCAATTGGGCCATTATTGCCCTCCTACCTACCTAAATGGATTAGCCACGTTTTAATTTTTTTTGCACCAAGCGCGTGGCCTTCAAGCACGAGTGGAGGAGAGTTACTGACCAAAAAGTGAACGTGAGACCGCATTACACGCCATTTAGCGTTTGCTCAAACACCGTTGGATTTCTTAGATCTGATGGTCCACATTAATCAATCTTTTTTATTAAAACAAAATTTTGAAAATAAAAGCAACTTGAAAATGTATTTTGTTATACCTTGTCATTTTATATCTATCTCACCATCCATCCTTCACTCTTACAATTTCTCATTTCCGATCATATATGTACTTTTCCTACATTTTAATCACACCAAAAAAACAAAAAAAACAAAAAAAAAAACTAAATAATTATCAAACGAAGTTTAATATTGGCACCCTCAAAATCTTGTGGAAATTGCATGTGGAGTGGGTACACCACTACAATTGGACGCTGCCGAAAGAGATCGCACTTACGGTCATTATGCTCGGGTTTTGGTGGATGTTGATTTAATGACTAATCTTCCAATATTATTTCAACCAGAACATTGTGTTAATTTGTTTGTGGTACTATTAGATAACTAAATACTTATTTATCTGAATGAATTATTTCAAGGATGGTTTTTCAATGGACTTTCAAACGAACAGTTCAAATTATGAGCAATATCATGAAATGTGTGCAAACAAGTAATTAACGTCGTATTAACTTATTATTTAGTTAGAACTACTCTATATTTATATATGGACAACGAGAAGTTCTCCATTTGTATCCAATTAGTCTTTTAATACAATGTTAACTACTCATTTGGCCTCACTCCACCATGTTATCTCATGATTTAAACCATTTAATATTTAGGTCATTATTTGATGATTATTCTTACTCAAAAAATGAAAACTAATGAAAAGAACGATAAGAACAAAATAAAAGGTAAAAATGAATAGTAACATGATTGATTTTTTAAGATAAAAATGTGACTTACTGACTTTACATTGAACTAGGAGAGTAGTCGATGAAAGTTGTCAAAAAAATGAAACCATGGACATTCACATTCCCGTTGGCAGTTTGACAAACGATCGTATGTGCCTCGGTTGTATTCTTCATTAAAAGGTAGTTCTTGCAACCAACCTTTCTAAGTGTTTTTCACGAAACAGCAGTCTGCAGTGTCAAGTTCCTCACAATTCTGACCTCTATTGCCGTGGGCTTCTAATGCAAATCTGGGGTCCAGAGGGTCTATAAGTTTTGGGCTTCAAGCAGGGAGGGCCGATTAGTATGCGTATCCAAGCCCATTACACAAGTAATTCATGGTTATAGTGCTACACTTGTGAGAACTCAAGGGCGGCCTAATATCAAATTTTTTACTTATTTATTAAACATTTTTGTTTACCTTTTCAAATGTAACATGATTGTAAGTTATTAAAGTATTTTTGTTTAAATTTTTTATGAAGAAATAGTTCCAAGGGTGTAGAGTGGAGCGAATATTAAGCTCTAGGGTGTGAAGTGTCGAAATTTTAGTGTTAGAAGAAAAATGAGATTGATGTGGAGTTCAAAAGGGCATTGCAAAGAATAAGTCTTATTTTTATTTTGCGAACTTTAACGAAAAGCTTTCTGATACTGTTCATTTTAACGAAAAATCATATTTTTACACTAAAAAGTCAATCTTTGTACTATTCACTTTACCCTTTATTTTGTCCTTATTAAAGTTCTAAAAAACACTAGGTGCTAGTCGGGCGGCGGACAAGGACCTAGCACTTAGGTGGCCTAGGCGGATTTATGTAAATTTATTATTTATCTTATAAATAAGTGTCTATTTACACCTAAAAATATATATATATATATATATATATATATATGCTTCTATGGATAATAAAAGAATGATAAAATGCAAAAATAAAAGTAAAACAATACACAAAGTATATACATCCAAAAAGACAACCCAAAAAGACCTTGTATGTTTAGTTATTTACAAATAAAACCCTAACCTAAAGATGATAAAAAATTCGACAACCAACTTCTAGATATTTTGTTTAATTTATTATATATTCTCAATTCATTATTTATTAAAAATTAATTTTCTTTATTCATTGAATCATTTCTTCTGACACCCAACTCAATTACTCTCATCTTCTTTTTCTATATGCCATCAACTCCAAAGTCACATCCCTTAGTCACATCCCTTCTCTTCACTTCTCCCCACTCAAACCCAATTACTCTCATCTTCTTTTTTTCTATGCCGTCAATTCCAAAGTCTCCATCCTTTATCTTCGCTTCTCCCTTGGTTTAAACAAGCCTTGCCTAGTTACCCTCTCCCTGTGGTGTCATCCTGTCATCGACCAAACAAGCCTTCATCTTCATCAAACCGCAGATCCCGACCAACCCAACCTAAAAATCAACTAAATTGTGTAGGTCAATGTAGTGGCGATCCCTGACAGCGATGGATTCAAGAAGTTCCAGACAACTCTTTCTCTTCTTTCAACAACAAAATTGCAGATCTTTCTCTCCTTCCTCAACAGATCACTCTCTTGTCGTCAGTACAAAGAGTTTTATTTTTTATTTTTTTTTTGGGTTACAAAACCAAGAGGCCGCCTAGCCTGCGTTGCCCGCCCAACGACCGCTTAGCCCACCTAGATACCGATTAATAGTCATTCCCATTTGTTGAACAATTTCATAATAATCGCGGCGGAGGCCCGCTGTCCAACGTCTAGGCGGCCAAAAACATTGGGAACTTTCTTTTATTTTTCTTTCATATTACCATGAAGGGGAAATATAAACTCTAATATTGAGAAGAGAAATATACGACAGCTAGTGTTCGACGCCATCAACGCACTGTACTAATTAATGCATATTTAATTATCATACCACTTAATATGCTTGAATTTCTTGAAACTTTGTTTTATCAATACCTTTGAATTACAAACAACAAATTACTTAAGTGTTACATATAAAAATAAAGGGAAATTATACGGCACACGTGACTGTACTCCCCTCTCCCTCCTTCCCTATATCCCTTGACGTCTTCATTGATGACCAGTAATTACCATGTAGTACTCGAGCCACAACCTCCACCCCCGCCCCCATGGTCGCCTCCACCATGACCCCCATGGTCGCCTCCACCATGCCCCCCATGGCCATCTCCTCCGCCCCCATGGTGACCTCCACCATGGCCCCCATGGCCATCTCCTCCGCCCCCATGGTCGCCTCCACCATCATCCCCACCGCCATCTCCTCCGTCCCCATGATGCGTATTCTTCCTCTTCTTGCTAGACGACTTACCGCAAGAAAATATGACAACTGATATTACAGAGAAGGACATTAAGATCATGCAGAAAAGGAAAAGACCACAAGCATCTGGAAGCAGTAAATCTGCATGACTAGCAGATACAGAAACAATGTTCTTGCTGCTCCTAGCCATTTTATTTATTTATTTGGCGATCCAAACTTTACGAAGAGGAATTTGTACATAGCTCCTAGCTAAGCTAGCTACAGCTTTGGTATAAATAGAACTTTTGAAGATAAGTTATTATATCTCCACCATTGCATTACCATATATGGAGCCACCTTGGGCCCATGGGATACCCCTACTCAAATTTGTATTTCAGCCGAAAAACGTATGTTTGTCGCATCAACAAGGTGTATCACTAGTTTATTTTTTTGTGACATAAGCATTAACTCTTCTAGTTACTACTGCTAAAGTTGAAAAAACATTTTCGGTCATGAAATTTTTAAAGAATTGATTGAGAAATCAAATGGGAGATCAATGAATGAATGATAACGTGTTATTTTTATAGAGAGAGATTTGATGGTATTGGTAGTGAAGTTGTCATGCAACGTTGAGAGATATTTTAATATGTTGTATGAAAAATCTAATGAATTAATATATAAGTATTTTATTTAATAAATTTTTTAATTTGTGACTTTGTTGTTTGAAGATGCCTCATCCATACAGATCTCTGACTTCGTTCCTGATTACTACACGAGGACCACGTGCGTATGTTGCCAAGGCTTGTGGGGCATTATGTTCATAATTGGCTATGGTCACAGCAGGATTTACATATTGACTAATCTCAAATGCAGCAGCTAAAGTGAAGGATTTACATATTTACAATAGGTTTTGCTTAAATTCTTACTTTTTCATTTTTATGAAAACATAAATAGGGCTTTTAGATTTTAGGGTTTTAATAATACTGTTTTTAGATTTTAACCTAAATGGTTTTCAAAATATAATATAAGTCCCTATTTTTAAAACTTACCATATTTAAGTAATTATAGCACATTTATTATTTATAAACTTACCATTCGAAATTCTTTATCCATCCATAATTAATGTTTTTTTGTGCTCCAATCATATTAATACATAAAAATTTATTCAAAATTCAAATTCTTATTATTATAAAATTCTACAACAAAACAAAAATAATTTATACATAACTTTCGGTACCTTATTTTATTCATAAGTACAGAAGTATTAGTACTAATGTATTAGGACATAACTTTAGATACCTTATTTTACTCATAGGTACATAAGTATTGGTTCGTAAATTTCGGTACGAATGTATCAGTACATAATTTTCGATGTGAATGTATCGGTATAAATGTATCATTACATAACTATAGTATCTAAACATACATTGCCTCCTTTTTTTTTTAGGGAGTTTTAACAATACACTTCTGGTACTGTTCACTTTTAACGAAAAAACATATTTTTACCTTTTCCAATTACTATTCACTATACATTTATTTGTCTTTTTTCATTAAAACTAAAGTTTTTTTTTTTAATTTTTCGTTAGTTTTCCTACAGACTCCACCTCCGCCACCTCTTTTTTTGAAGTACATACTCCACCTCCACTCAACATGAAGCACCGCCGCCTCCACCTCCACCTCCACCTCCACCTCCACATGCAGCGCCGCCACCACCTCCACCTCCGCATGCAGCGCCGCCACCTCCACCTCCGAATGCAGCGCCGCCACCTCCACGTCCACGTCCACGTCCAAATGCAGCGCCGCCTCCACGTCTTTCCTTGTTTGATCCTTCGTAATCACCACAGGCAAATATGACCATTGAGATAAGTGAGAGGGACATAAGAATCATGCAGAGCAAAAGCAGACCGCCAGAGTTGTGATCTGGCATCATGATACCCACTTCGCCTGCATGGCCACCACCTAGACCAACGTATGTTCTAGCCATTTTTTCTCACTGTGTTGCAGACTAATACAAGATTATACAGCTTCACTATATATGTGTGTGTGTGTATGTATATATACCTATAATGTTAGTGCCGTATTGAATTGAAATCATACTTTTCAAAGTATTTGGTTGACAATTCTGGCTGCAGAAACTTCATGAAACTTCTTTGAAGTTTTACTATTCAGAACTGGGCTTGACTTGGATGATGCATATAAATCAACAGACCTTCCCAGAATTCAAATGTTTTACGTAAGTTTATAAATGCGCGAGACTCCGATCAATTTATACAATAACAAAGCCTTATCCCACTAATTAAGCGTGGTCGGCTGTACAAACTTAGAACGCCACTGCGCTCGATTTTGCTTTAAATATTCAGTTAGCTCCAAGTGCTCCATGTCTTTTCTTAAAGTCTCTTTCCAAGTATTCTTAGGTCTTCCTCTACTTTTGTCATCAGCCTATGTCTCATAAACGCATCTTCGAACCGAAGCATTTGTAGGTTTTTTGTTAACATGTCCAAACCACCTTAACCAATTTTCTCTCATCTTATTTGCTATTGCGGCTCCAATCAATTTATATATTTAAACAAATGGGACGAGACAAATCCATTAGCTGTTTTGAATAAAGATTGAATCGTATTAATCTAGTTCAATGCTAATCCCCCAAGTTTCAAACTATTAGAAAGGTCTACGCATCCCAGGCAGAACAGTAAACCATTAAACCATGAACAGTACATAGTTGACTAAAGCTGAAACTCAGGAGCACAAGAATTAAAAGGTTAGTAGTAAAGATTTATACATACATGAGACTTGGCTACGACGCTACATGCATTTACTTAACACATGCAACATATAATCAACAACTAGACGTGAAAAATTGATGATAGATTTAATAGAATTAGCTGCAAAATTGCAAAATATAATCAACAACTGAAGGATCAATCTACGGCCGGCCTTGTTTGGCCATAGATGATTGGATTGAAATTAACAATAGATTTAATAGAATTAGCTGCAAATTACAAGAAATCGTGTAACTTGAGATAACTACCAAGTTTACAATAACAATCGTTGTAATTACTTTTAGGGTGGTGCTATCCACACACCCTTTTGCATAACTTAACAGACTCGTGAATAGTGTCACCGGCTGCCAAGATACAATCCAGACGACTTCGACCATCTACAACACCCCCTGCAAACACAAGGAAAAGATCTGTATATATACTAGCCCACTCTACCAAAACTACATACGAACATGCTTAATGTATGCAACGCGCCCCATGTGTCCTAAGGAGATATGGCTTACAGCGTCCTCAACCACCAGATGGAAGCAGCTTCATCTTCTACATCAGCAATCACATTCAACCAGACTGCCGTTTTGATCTTCTACCTTTCCCGAGGAGTTTTAGCATCTTGTCAGTGCCATCAGGCGTGGAGTTGTATTTTTTATCACGATTGTTGTCTGATGTGTGAGTCAACCAAGCCAGTGCTTCTATAGCAGCATCCCTTTCTGCAAGCTGCTTATTTTTCTTAGGTTTCCCAACAAATTGCATGCCCTTGCACCTCCACCAGTCCTCTCAACTCATTCGTCTCAAGGTACTTTGTTTTGTATTTTGGAGCAGTGTCCTGCTCTCATCAACGGAGTTTGAAGCAAACTCCATTGATTGGTCCCGTCTTTAGTGAATCTGCTGTTATCACCAGACTCCTTTGGCTTCCTGCTGTCACGACCAAATACAAATCTCCCTTCACATTGATCTCCGGATACCAGCTCTTGAACAGCAAGCATAAGGTACTTGTCGATATCAAGGCTAGGATCTACAAGCTGTGCATCATTGCAAGGGAGTAAAAACCCCCAGTACAAGAATCTGGAGATGCTAGAAAGAAACAAACGTAACGTTCATACAAGACAGGCAACCAAATCATAAGCTCCCCTTTCCTTGCTCATGAACCAGGATTTCGACCCCAGTACTAAAGGCTAAAACAAGAAAGTAGAATATTAAACGACAAACATAATAAGCTCTTTAAAAGTAATGAATGCCTAATAGTTCACCATTTTTTTTCTTTGAATAAGCTCATTTAGTTCTTCCTTAAGCTTCAAATAGCAGTCCACCAAACTAAGATCCATGAAGAAGTCAATATAACCGTCCAACATTCTCAAATGCCCAACCATGGTGGAAAAATGAGAGAAAAATAAAATGAGGAAAGTACAGAATACAAGATCACAATAAGTCTCCATACATTTGTACTAACTCAGGGTTATACAATTGAATAATCACCTGGACTCCATGGTTCAACGCACCACCAAAAAGGATCAGGATCGAATCAGATACACCAGTGGAATCACGTACGAAAACAGTATAATCCTTACTTTCTCTTAAAAAGTGCACAATTCCTGTATTATATGTAGTTACATACAAAGCATCCAGTATACGTATAACCATGTCAGATTAGAACTCTAGTAGGCCAGTCACAAAACCACTTTTCTTTAACTCGATGGAAATCATGTAATGTGAGGAGGTTTGAAAGAAAAATAATTTTTTTTTAATTTGGGACAGGTGAAGTTCTGAGCTGCTTATCGAGATCCAACTGATGAATACAGATTTATAGGACATAGCAGATTAGATATATAGGACATAGATATGAAACAGTACAGAAAATTCATTGAGCAGGAACACGTACAGCTAGTGGTTGCGATGGCTGCAAGGCAGCTGACAAGAACTCCCCTATCATAGCAACCCGCAAACTTTTAATTTGCAAGCAAAGAGAGTTCAAAGGAGTTCTGAGCAGTTCAGGAAGTTGATATTTAGCAAAAGCGCGATAAACCCATCTGAGGTAAAGATGGTACCATTCGTCTGGCAGCACAAATTAATATTAATGGCAGTTACGCCATACACAACTTAAGAATAACTAATGAGATGTGCCACAATGTTTTTCCAGTAAGGAGTTGACTTGGGACAGTTGTTCCAGCCGTTGATGATTTATGAGCCGCCCATTCGTGTGCGGCCGACTGACCCAAAACCATCACTATTCCCTTTTGAATATCAGAGACATCACATATAGCAACTGCAACTCCACTGATGTGATAATGGTTCACTTTTGCAACAGTTTCTTAGGAACGCTGCAAAAGAATCCTAGGCTTTTAAAGCCAAACATAAACAAATACTTCTCTCTCAAACTAGCCATAATATACACAAAAATGTGATCAATAATCGATCGGAAGATATTAAGCCTCCAAATTCATGTAACCAAACCGATATGTTAATTCTAAAACCTCATCAACTCAACAAAAATATCGAATTGGTATAAGATTTATCAGCTTAACATGCACGGAAGATAAAGCGAGTGGCTCAAAGTACATCACTTCTCTTTTATTAAGGAAATGAAGAAACAAATACATCTTTTGATTCCCCTTACACAAGAATCCTACTAAAGGAAAGTTAAGTTCATAAAAATGATATGATGAGATTTACAAGAAAATTACATGATACAAGATGGGCTTATTGATATATAGTTTTCATTAGGTACCAACTTCTGTGTATAAAGCTTACAAGGGCAACACATTCGAGAGAAACTTTTAGAAAAGTGAAAGGAAAAAAACTATATTCAGCACCTTTACACCCATAGAAAGAGTATTCACATAAGCTGGTGAGCTTCAGATAAACATCCGACTTCTAAGCTTCCGGTATAGGTGTCAGAAGCTCCTGACAAAATATAAATTATCATTAACAAATCCAATCACCAAACAGGTAAACTGAAGCTGTTAAGGTGACGAGTTAAGGAATTACCTCTGAAAACCGCAGATGTCCATGGTGCTTGTTAGAAGTTTTAACAATTGTCTCCCATTTGGTACCAAGAGAGGACGTCTTCGAAGGCTGGCTGATAGCATAAATCTGTGAACCAGAAGAACACTGTGAAGATGAGCTCCTCGAGGAAATACTAGGTAAGGTACGCTTTAGCCAAGACTCTGATGGAGATTTCGGTAAAGGTGGTCCAAGAGGCCGTCGTGAATTGTGGCCCTGGGAACTTTCTTGATTACCAAATTTCACAAGTTGTTGACTTTCTAAATCAATCTTTCCTCCGTTGGCCACTTTTGAGCTGGTCAATGTAATAGACTTCTGAACATGGCTATGAGAACTTTCTTCTGTTCCTGATTTTCTAGACTGTTGGCTTTTTAAATCACTCTTTTTCTCATCATCCAGTTTCGCCCTTGTCGATGTAATACAATCCTGAGTAAGGCCATTAAAATTTTCCCAATGAACTGATTTCTCTAAATGTTGGCTTTTCAAGTTACACCTTTCTTGTTCAGCCACTTTTGAGCTTGCAAATTTGCTAGAATCCTGACCTGATAAAAAACCATTTCTCATGTCTGTTTGATCATCCTTCTTGGATCTGCCAGACCAAGATAGAAAGCTGGAGTCAGGAAACTCCAAACTTTGAAATGGCACTATTGTCTTTTCATTTCCATCACCCAAGCACTCAATATCTTGGAATGAAAACTCTGCCGAAGGAGTTTCTTTCACTTCATTTCTTTTCTCAGGAATTTCAATATCATTCCCTCTGTACTGAATAATATGGCCCTTTGTATCTGAGGAATGTGACTTCGACTTAGGAGATTTTACAGTATGCACAAAATCAATATACAGATTCTTCTCAAATACAGGACTCCCTGGGCCCATTTCCCATTGAGCAACATTCTCAGTAGCCAATAATTCCCTAAAATTGTTGTGGTCTTTTCGATACTTTCCAGAGCTACTAGTATCTCTGGAATTCTTCGCTTTTTCAGGAAGACCAAGAAAACCTTTTTCTTCATGATGAAAACATTCCTTTCGGTAGGGTGATATGTTACTACCTTGCTGATGCCTATATACAGGTGACCCATCTAATTTCTGACATTCGCTTATTTTGATCTGGTTGGATTCACATTGCAAATCATTCCTATCTTCAGGCATCCCAGCTTCCTGATGTCCATTTGTCAATCTTTGTTCACAAGCATCACCCCCAGAATGCTAGAGAAAATATAGAAACTGTTCAATAAAGATTCTTGACGTGATAATAACACATGGAAAACTGGGGAAACGCAAGTAAATAAGGCAAAATACCTCATTTTTAGCTTCTCTGTAAGCACTGGCATAGGAAGATTTAGCTCGCAGTCTACTAACTGAGGAAACGGGTAATCGCGGTTGCACTCTCATACCTGGGACAAGGTTAAGAAGGCAAAAGAATTTTTTTTTTTTTTTTAAATCAAGGAAATGACTCAAAAACTTTACCTAATAAATTTTCAGATCCTTATATAATCACCTTCATTCTCACTTTTGTCCCCAGCTATAACTTGAAAATTATGTGGCAAATCATTTGGCCTATATTGATTAAGTGGATGTTGCTTAACCCCGCTTGCTACCTTCTTCATCCCTCTAGGTTGCTCTTGAGAAATTGCTTGCTCTCGTGCAAGTGGTTGCTTCCTGGTAGCATATTGAGGTGTGTCTGAAACCATTGCTTTTGCTGCAGGCAAGAACCGACCCATCATGAAGTCGCGAGTCTGTGGATCTGTTGAGAAGGTTCCAGATGGTTTGGCATCTGGACCGTCCAGTCCACTCAAACCACTTATACTACAGTTATAATAGAATGATTCACTCCTCGAAAGTGTGTCAAGTGCATCTAAATAGGTCTCATCACCATCCTCTGAATCAGCAATATCCTTATCATCCATCCCCTCTTTAAGGCTGTCACACTTGGTAACTTCTTTTGTATCAAAGGTTGAAACATTGTTAAAATTGGAAAGTACATTTCCAGTTGGGGACTGAGCAGTTGTAGTGCGTTTAGAACATTTATCCAATGCTTGCTTCTTAGCATTCAAAACCCTTCCAGGCGGAAGCCTCGGCGTAGTGGGAGGCTGCTCAATACCCCGAGTCTGTGAATTTCTTTCATCCTTGGGTTTTCCCGGGACTTTCTCCCATACAAAAGGAACACTACCTGGGTGCCTCACTGGACCTGATTTCAGTTCTGATTTGTAAAAGGGAAGAGGTAGTTTGGGTATTGACTTATCAGTCTTCCTTTTGTCATTAGCTTCTAAGGTGACTGCTGTAGGTGAAAATCGTCTCACAGACAGAAGTGGCTGATTAAGATCTAACTGCTTCTCTTCCATCATATTCTTTAGCATCGTGTACTATAGTTTTCTTTCCTGCAAAGCACCCTGTTCTCATCAAATTATATTCCAAAGAAGAAAAGAAACTAAGGAACGTGAGTAGCTGCATATCGGAGATGTATATAAACTAATCTGGTGTGTGGCAGTGTCGGATATAAAGGTCCAATATAAAGGCAAGTAAGAAAACTAAATCTACTAAAACACGTCTATGAACCAACAACTGATAAATATGCCGCGCAATCCTTGCGAAAACAAAGTGTGTAAATACCAACTGAAAGTTGATTTGAGTTCAATAAAACATACTAAAGTGGAAATTTCAGACACTCTTTCCACAGTTTTTTCGGTTTGATGCCAAAAATGTCAATGAGCGGTAAACACTTTCGACAATTCAGGAAAACAGACTTATTTAATTTCAAAGGATTCGAGATGAATCTACTGTCTTCTAAATAACCCTTACATGATTATTTTGCACGTGTTGCATCACAAGAATTTAGACAAACAAAGATTAGAGGTTTAGGTTCTAAACAAACAGTATCTACTTCAATGTACTGCCAAATTGAGCATTGCTTTTCCTCCCAAGCTACCAAGTATTTGAATTAAAACTCCCTTAACTCATGCCGACCTGCTAATTAACCGACTTAATATCTAACAAAATGAAGTTAAAATCAGACATTGTTAGAGATCCACTATTTTCGTCAAGCTAAATTCTAGTCCTCGATGTGGCTTTACACTCACCCGAAAGCCCAAAAGCAAATAAACCAATTGGACTTGAACTTTCACTACTGGCCACCAAAGATTTATAAAGTCAATGTAACATCAACCAACAAAACTCTGGAGTAATTAAGGTAACACTCTCATCATTTTCTTTCCTTTTCATCTTTCTCAGCAGCCAAACAGAAGGTTAGGTACACTTTGTGAAAGTGACTGGTCCTATTCTTTCTTTCTGGTCAAATAGTAGATACCCAAAGACCTAAGACTGCTTTAATGGGTAAATTAAATTCCTAATATTCTAATTAATCAACAATAATTACAGCACCCCAGTACAAAATTCAAACACTTGATTCCGTGCAGCACTTCATTACCAACATCAAAATCTTTCATCCTCAAACAAATTCTTGCGCTTTAATCCAAGCTAATTAATAAAAATACTAAATTTTGAATCTTTATTGAAGCAATTAAACAAAACTAAAAACCCATTTGATCAGAAACAAGGAACAAGTCAACCATCAAATCCACGCTCAGATATCTTTCGGATAAATATATTTTTTTGCAAAAAAAAGTTGATAAAAAAAAAAAAGAAGAAGAAGAAGAAGAGCAACAAAATTGCAGTGAGAAGTTAAGAGAAACACTGACCCTGATGAGAGAGGAAGCGAGAGAGAGAGAGAGAGAGAAACCAGGTCGTCGGTGTGGTTCTTGAAAAGACTAGCAAATGAGAACTTCTCCACAAGTCTCAGAAAGAGAGGGCATGGAATGCAAGAGAGAGTCGAGGCAGAGAGATTTTATGAGAATCAATACCTAATCCTACTAGGAATTCAGAGAAATGTGACAGCGAGAGTAGAGTAGGGAAAGAATAGAATAAAGGGCGAGAGAGAGAGAGAGAGAGAGAGAGAGAGAGGCTGGTTTGTACGCTTGTGTCATTTAATACTTGGCTGCAGAGCAGCGCTTACCCGCCGATGATGAAATGCCAAATTTGAACACAGAGATAAATATATAAATAAAATAATGATTTCTTCTTTTGGCAAAAAGGAATATTGATTTTTTTGGAAAAAAAAATAATGATATTTAGATTTATCACAAATAGTCTATGAGATTGACCAAACTCATTATTTTGGCCATTTACTTTCAAAATCAATTAATGTCTTCCTTAACATTCACTACCGCCCATCAAGTTGGTCCTTCCATTTGGATTGTATCAATTATTCTGTTAGTTTGTACGTGGGACCCATAAATTCAATAAAATTGTGACACGTTGATTACACAAAAGAATGATTTTTATAGCAAATGGTATTTGACATTGATCAAACTTCTCATTTTGGTTCCTGAGTTTCAAAAACCGATAAATTTAGTCATTGACTTTTACTATCGCACATCAATTGAGTCATTCTGTTAAAATTTCATAAATATTTTTTTGTTAGTGTGCTGATGTGGTCCCACTAATCCAATCATATAGTGCCAAATGGATTAACTATAAGAACTATTATTTTAGAGTGAACCAACTGACGAGTATTCCACGCTGGCATTTCTTTCACATCCTACAATCCCATTCGGAAAAAAAAAATCCAATCTAAATTCGATAAAATCAAATCCAATTCAAATTTGATGAATTATAACCAACTAGAGAGAATGAGGAGTGAGTTCAGGAGGCCAAGAGCTTTAGTGGTGTCATGGTGCCTTCCTTTTCTTTTTGAGCATATACCCAGATGAAGACGAAGATGTCTTTTTTTTCTTTTAATTTCTTATTTTATTTTTAGTTTTAAATCTTAAAAAATAGTTTCTCATAGTTAATTCAGGTGGCACCATATGATTGGATTAGTGGGACCATATTACACACTAACAAAAAATATTGACGAAATTTTAACGGAATGATTAAAATGATGTGCGGTAGTGAAAGGCAAGGACTAAATTTATCAATTTTTGAAACTCAATGAACAAAATGAGGAGTTCGATCAATGTCAATGACCATTTGGGATAAAAACCCTTCTTTTGTGTAATCAATATGTCACCATTTTATTGGATTTGTGGGTCCCACATACAAACTAACAGAATTATTGACGGAATCTAAATGAACGACCAAATTGATGTGCGGTAGTGAATGTCGAGGATGGCATTGATTGATTTTGAAAGTGAGACCAAAATGATGAGTTTGGTCAATTTCAGGAATCATTGATGATAAAAACCCATAATATTTTTGTCCTACTTTTATAATGTTGTTCCATAATCTAAAAAATCTCTATTTAAGGATCATCCTAAATGGCTAGTGACATTGTAACTATTACTGCGATCTAATGATATTACATAAAAGAGAGTAGTCTGATATTCCACTTTAATAAATAACGAGGTAAATACTATATTATTATACCATATATATTGTATGGATTAACTTTAATTGACAATAAATTCCTAATTTATGTATAAAATCAATGTGAAGAAAATTAAAATCAAATTATTTCTTTTTGTAGAAATTAAAATATATTCAACTCGTACGAATATCGAGTCAAATAATCCATAGTTTTGGAGTTATAAAGTTTAAGATAATAGCTTTTCTCTTTCGCCAATTAATTCAGAGGTTCACATTATCCTTTTAGTCTTAAAGTTAACTTTCGAAAAGGTAGTAGGTGTTCATCTTGCGTAGGGACCTAGTGTCTAGGCATCTAGGTAGGGGTTTAGGCTGTTTTTTTAATTTTAATTAAATTATTACATAAAATATAAATAAATGTCTAATTATACTTTTAAAAAAATTACATAATTTTGTATTGGAATATGTAAATTACAAAATAAAATGACATATAAATTATAATGTATTAGAGTATATTGAAAACATAAGAAACAAGCATATAATAAGTTTTCAGGTAATGATTCAACAAATCTCTTACAATTTATTTGAAAAAAAATAAATGCAAATGAAAGTTATTAATTTCATGTCTAAGTGAAAATAGGCAACCTAGGCGGGTCTAGGCATGCGCCTATGTCTAAGCAGGTTTAGGCGTTATTTTTTAATTTTCAAATGCTTAAGGATTAATCAGAACAGTTGTTAGCCACCTAGTGCCTAAGTGGGGCCTAGACAGCATTAGACGGAGACTTCTAGAACAGTAACTATTGATGCGAAATATATAAGCACACAAATTAAACCCTCTTTTTATCAATTGTAGTAAAGTATGTAAGTAGGGATCGTTCTAGGCCGGGGATTAGGAGGGATTGCTAAATCACTTGGAAACTGACTTGAAAACGTAAAAACAAAGTTTAAAACACTAACTAGACTCAAAGAATGCAAAACTGTACTTTAAAACACTAAAACAAACCAAAGACTCAAAACAGCCCCTAAACACTCAAAACTACCTTAAACACACAATCTGGGCAGTTTTGGGACTCTAACACAAACTTGGACAAATTTTGGTTTTCTAATGAACTAAAACACTTAAAAACATAATCTAAGACAAGTTCTAATTAATATGACTCAAAGAAATAAGATGGGGTTGATTTTGGACGAAAATAATTAAATTAAGACAAGAACAAAGTAAACAAATTCTTAGACAAATTTAAGTGAATCAAAACAAATTGTAAAATGAATTTGAATGAAACTTATGGATGGAAGGCTAGCTAGGAGGTTCTTCTCCACACATGTCACACTTGCATACAAAACGATTTCCAGTTGCTTTTCGATAAGCTATGAATACTCAACGCCCCAAATTAACTGTGAATTGCACTAATTAACCCTCAGTTTTTCCACAAGTTATTGGATTGGATGATTGCATACGACAACCCAAAACATTCCCTACAAGTTCCCTACATGAATTGCATAATAGAGATACAAGCAAGAATCATTAAGTTCTATGAAAAACATAAGCATTGACGAGGCACTCGTTACTATGATTTGCATGAAACTTATGCCAAAAATTTACTTAACGTGATTGTGACTAGCAACCTTCACTACTTGTGAATATAAGTTCATAACGATTAGGTGAAACTCCCTTATATTCTAGCGTTAAATTCATGCATGAAAATTAAGCGTGCACTCTCAACCAACATACACAAATCATTTTTTATAGATCGGATAAGTAAATTGAATTCACAACTTATGAATCACAACTGGATGTAATCAAATCATATTGCAAGCATGAACATGGTTTCGAATCACCCCCTAACTAAGAGGGGTTTAGTTCCTCATACTCACAAAGCAAAGATACATAAAATTAGACATTAAAATCAAAGGAAAGAAAACACCTAAAATGCTCCAACTTGGGTAGCAAGTGCATCCAAGAATTCTCCTTTGCTTGCTTGCGGCAGATTGCTTTGTGGACGGATTTTTGGGTAGTTTTTATGATGTAGAATGGATGGGGAATGGTATGGAAAGGTTTAGGGTAAGTGTGGAGGAGTGTTTGAGGGTTGGAGGGTGGTGGAGAACTAGGCAAAGAGGGTGGAAGAAGGTGGAGTGGCTGTTATGTTTTCTAGGCACTAGAATGGTGTTTTTGGGGTGTTTTTTTGCTACCTAGGGTGAGTATGGACGAATTTCTGTGATGAATGGTGAATATGAGAGTGTGAACCCTTTGCCAAGGGGTGTAAACATGTATATATAGGCCCCAAAAACCTTAGAGAATCAGGTTAGGCTAGGGAGAATGCACGGCAAAGAGTGTATGTGGTGTGCAATGGTCCAAGGGTGAAAATGAAGTGATGATGCAAAGTGTGAATGGTAAAATGGAGTGGTCTTGTAGCTAGGGGGCATGAATGATTGTGTACATTGCATAGAGATGGAAAGGGAGGTGAAAATGTGTCAATAAATGGGTCAAAGGTGCAGCAACATGTGGTACACAAGGCATGAGATTCCAAATGTGAATGATGGAGCATCAATTAGTGCATGTTATGGTTGTGAAAGTTGTATAAAATTTTATGGGTGAAGGGAACAAGAGGTATCAAGCAATTAAGTGTAATAATTAAATGAATTGAAGCATGAAATCAGAAATTATGTAGGGGACAAGAGTGATCAAGCATGGCATGGGAATCCAAAGGGAATTCTATGTTGTTTTGCATGGCAATGAAGGCAAGTTGGGGTGACAAATTTTTGGGCTGAGTTCTTCATCTTTTGGACCATAATTCTTCACATTCTTGGCCTCTTTAGTTCTCAAATTCGTCAATCCACTTTGGCCCAAATATGTGACATGCATTCCAAGCTCCATTTTGCTCCAAAATGCTCCAAAATGCATCTTCTTGCCTACTTTGTCCATAAAATCTGAAAACACACGAAAATGACTTTAAACATTAAAATAACTAAGGAAACACGACATAAATGCACAAGAACAAGCCAACTAAGTCGCATAAATATGCTCCTATCAACTATGATAAAATGACCATCAATTATTTTCTATTAAGCTTGATGATCAAATGAAAATATGTTCATGCAACCGACGACTTAAATTTAATTCTACGTTTCCTTAAATGTTGTATTATACATATTACTCATCACACCAGATGGAGCATACACTTTAGAAAGACTTTTGATCTGACCATAAAATAGTTCATAAGAAACTAACAAGTGTTAATTTAAACTTGTAAATTAATAAAAGTGAACGAAAGATTGTAGTCTACTTTTTATTTGTTGGATTTGTTTATGGGTCACTTGGCCTTGGATCGTGTGACGACAACCAATATATTAAATAAAATAAAGACAGTAAAGTCATCTTTCCACGACGACCTACTAAAAAAAAACTTTCACAAACAAGAGCAACTTGTAAGAAATAAGTTCACCTTAACATAACATTCTGATCTAACAACAACGTTATATAAAAAATTGACGCTTAGAGTGGGAATTATACCCTATGAGAACTAATCTCTTGTCATTCTTCAGTCGATCAGTGATAAAGAGGTAAGTTGTTAACTGATTGGTTATAGGTTCGAATATACTT